ATAGTTCTTTTAATAAATGTTAAATCTTGTAATATTTTCATTTAAGAAACGTTAATTCTTATTGAAAACAGGCACAACTTTTTTAGGGAACTTTTATGCCAACCTCAGATTTGGGCACCCAAGTCGAAATATATACTTCAAATAACTAACTTTTATAACCACATAATCTAGCTATTGAGCTTTTTGCATGCATCTGATCTTTTTCCCTTTAGTTTTGTTCCAATTTGCATAACATGCAAATACACACAATGTAACATACTTCATGTTTGCATTGATAGAGCAACAAAGATATATTCAGTGTTGCAAATGGAATCTGTGTATACATCTGTTGTGTACATTCAGTGTAAGAGATTTCTGTTATTGACAATGTTTTTCTTCTTTTTTAGGAAGTATTCAACTATTTATTGATCATTTCTAGCACTCAAGCAATGCTTTATTTACTTATTCATATAACAAATATGTATGAACTGTAGTTGGAGCTTTTTCATTCTGGAAATGATTTCAAACAACTTCGGTAGTAATGTACAATTATTTATTTATTTACATAAACAGCCTGAATATTAAAAGAAGCAAAATAAGAACTAAGTCCCATGCTGTCTCTCTAATAACTGTGTCGTTATTAATTTAGCAACTAGCCCAATTTGCAAAGGAAACAACTTGTATAGTTATCAGTTTTATTTTTGTTTCTTGTTGTAATGCTATTCTACTTTCTGTATGTGCAATGTAATAAAATAGAAGTAAAACTGTAAGTAACTATTGTGGTTTTTCACTGCATAATGTCCCCTTTTCCAAAATTTATATTATTTGAAGTGCTTAATTAAGTTAAAAAGTAATGCTATTATTTTATGAAAAATGTATCTATGGCCACTTTGTTTATTACAAAGAAACAAAGACCCAGCACATGTTTTAAATTCCTTTCTGCACATGTCACAAAGTGTTACTAAGTTACAATCAAAATTTAATTAAATCACTTTACTCTCAATGTATTTTAATGATATTAGCATTATCAAATACAATATAATTCAAAGTTATATATTATCCAAGTTATTATTCCTTTATTTCCAAAGAAACTTCTAAAACAAACAATTAAAACTTCAGTTTTGCTGTCACGTGACAGGCATGCAGTTAACAATACTTTAGCTTTATACCTCTAATACAGAATTTTTAAACTGTAATAGGTTACCTGTGCTGTGGCTATTGCAGGAATTAATCTCTGACTTTTATGAATCTGCTTGCTTTTATATAATGGACAGATACCTGTCTATCATGTGATTATAGTTCTAGAACCATTGCAACATTTGCAAAGAAACATCCACATTGTGTTTCCATAATCTGTAAATAACTGATTTGTTGAGGTGTTATGGTCGATATTTGAGTACATCATGAGGAAGGTCAAGTAAAAGAAAAAATCTTGAGATAGATTATTTTTCCCCATTTTTGTTGCTATGATATGGAAACTAAATCAATTAATTTCTTAAACTATGGGCAATGCCCTGAAAGTGATTAAAAAAATCCAAATAGCCAGGATTGTTGCTTAGATGATTTGAGTGATGGGCAGTAAAAATCATTCTAGACTATAGATGCATGTGCCTGCAGCTACCACCACCACCATCCCCAGCCAGATAAAAAAATGGTTATAATTTCAATGACATTGAAAATTTGTAAATTCCTTTGGAACATCCAACAAAACTCTCTACACAAGCAATCACTAGGCAAACATGTGTTATAAGGAGAACAATGAGTCTAAAAAAATAAAGCCAGAGACAAATTTTACTCTAGGCTGAGTTTTATATTTCTGACTGATCTATCTTTAACAGCAGGTAGTTGATACAAATTAGTCACAATGAGATTAAAAAAGTTTTATGCGAGAAACATATTGATATACTTTTATATTTTAGATGTAAGTAAAATTCTGAAGATATTTTTACACATCAGAAACTTACTGGAAAGAAAATTAGCTTTGTATGGTATCCACTGTGGCTAACATTTTCTGATGTGCTACACTAAGTACAAGTGAATTTGTGTGACATGGGTCATTTGTTTAGTTTTGCTTACAAGTTTTTGCTTGTGGACCTTTCTTGAAAAGTATTTTAGCACAAAGGTTATTTGCTTTGGGACTTTTCTAGAGAAGTGTTTGTTTCTAATAAGCTAATTGTGAAAAACTATACTGCAACACTGACAAAGAAATTTTTCATGCTTATGGTGAACTTTTTCTCATTGATATTCAGCACTGGGCAACAGTAGTCACATTGCACGGGAGTGTTGGTTGAGCAGAACGAGTCCTGGGTGGCCCCGCACACAGCTGCTACAACCCTACTATTAGCTACTTTACAAGTTTTCCTTGGGTAAATCTAAAATAAATATCTTAGTAAGGTATGTAAATATTTAACATAATATTCTTGTGTGTTTCCAAGGTTTTCCCTGTTGTAGATATTAAGTAAGTTAATAAGGTTGTTATTATCATGTTAATCCACCTCATGACTTTGACATTACAAAACCAATGTTGTTTAGAATTAATAATAAAAAAAGCTATTTACATTTAGTTTTATCATTATCTTGTATTTCTTGTATTTTTTAAAACATGAGTACTTTTGATAAACTACACCTACAGTAAGCACTTTTATATCTTCTGTTGCACAATCACCCAAGAAAGATGGGGCTGTAGATACAAACAAGTGTATATGTTGACAATTTATTTTCAAAATCTAATCAATATAATAATTTTGGATGAAAAGGTTGATATATTAAATAAACCTACTTAAAATGAACTAATTTAGAGTAACATTTCAGTCCTGAAAATATTAAGAATTTGCTAAAATGTGGGAGATTAAGACCCACATTGATCTTCATTAAGGTAAAAGGTGAATTGATATCCATATTGCTAATGTATTAATTCTTGTCAAAATTAAAAATATGTATACAAGGCATGAATTTACTTCTCAGTGCAGGAATGATTTTGAATAAATTAAGCTCTTCATCCTAATTACCACCTGGTAAACAAAAAGTAGAAATATTCTGCAACTGAAATGTCATTCTCTATTCCAGACCATAACAGAAGATATACTAGACACCTCTGTAATACCAGGTTCAATTGAAACTTTTTTCATAATTTTGTTAACAGCTTGATGATATATCTCCATAGTTAACAGATACACTTATCCCTGACTTGTATCAAACCCATTTCAAACTTAAATACCTTTAATTCTGGAAATGTCCTTGCTTTGCCTGTAAGCTACTTAGAACAGGGACAGATTGGTCTCTGTGGTGATCCACTATTTTATACTTTAGGTATAGTTCAAATATGGTAAAAAAACAAGAAAATTGTAACTGTACAATGGTAAACAATTTAATTTTGTCTTTTTCCTCCTTGGAATTGTAATTTTTCTTTTTAGTTTATACTTAGTCTAGCCAATTTAGTGCTTTCCAACTACATAAATTAATTTTAGAAAGAACATAGCCTACTTTTGTTAGTGAGGTAAGAAAGGGAGTCACAGGCTGCTAATGTCATCTTGTAATGAAGTGAAAGTTTTAATCAAAAATCAACACATCTTACTCATCCCTATGTATTTGGGCTAATAAATTTTCTAAATTTTGCTAAAATGTTTAACTTTTCTAGTTTATACAGGTATTACAGAACATTAACTCTATCTATCTATTATTTACTGTGAAGTAAGATGATAGAAGAGGCTTAAAGTATATTAATAATTAGTTTGCCCAGACATTCACATCACTTGGCATCCATTTTTACTTAACATTAATGGTTGTGAAAAGTTTGGATTTCAGCTACTCATGTCACATAGAAAAGGCTCAAACTTTAACTACTTAATAGTGAATTATGTAAAAAAGCATTGTAATTATAACAGTTATTCAAAGTTAGAGCTTTAATGAGCGCTCTTACAATATAAACAGAATCTTACTTTAAAATTAGTTTCAGCACTTTTCCTGGAATGTTTCTGGCACATATGGTGAAGCATTAAATATGTATAAATAAAGAGTACTCCTGTGTTTTACATGGTTTAATCCAAAGAAATAACACCTTAAACTTCTGTCCTGAACGGATAACTTAAAATATAATATATATATATAATAATTAATATTATGTTTGTTGACTTGGCAATGAATAGGAGTCACAGTTACTAAAGGTGTATTTGCAAGAGTAGACAAAGGAAGAGAATTGCTACCCTGTGATACATATAAAGATTATTTAGAGCAAGGACAATAATTATTATGAATTACCTTATTATTCAAAATTTTAATGTTAAACATAAACTTTTTTTGCAGAATTAATATTTCATAACAGAAGGGAAATTTATTTGTTGCTGGTTAGTGTTAAAGAAGGTATGTCTTCTGGGGCCAATGAGAATGTAGTGATGTTGATTAGAACTACAAATATTGTACTTGGTGTTACAGAAAGTATGTTTCTTGGGATTAATGAGGAGGAGGTGATGTTTATTAGAACTAAAAAAATTGTGGTTAGCATTAAAGAAAGTATGTTTCTTAGGGCCAATGAGGAGGAGGTGATATTGATTAGGACCAAAAATATTATGGTTAGCAAGGAGATATGCCTGTTGTGGCCAGTGAGAATGAGGTGATGTTGATTAGGACCAAAGATATTGTGGTTAGCAAGGAGATATGCCTGTTGTGGTAAGTGAAAAGGAGGTGATATTGATTAGAACTACAAATATTGTAGTAAGTATTAAAGAAATATGTTTGGTCCTAATCAACATCACCTCCTTCTCATTAATCCCAACAAAGATATTGTGGTTAGCAAGGAGGTATGCCTGTTGTGTTAAGTCAAAAGGAGGTGATATTGATTAGAACTACAAATATTGTAGTTAATGTTAAAGAAATATGCCTGTTGTGGTAAGTGAAAAGGAGGTGATGTTGATTAGGACCAAAGATATTGTGGTTAGCAAGGAGGTATGCCTGTTGTGGTAAGTGAAAAGGAGGTGATATTGATTAGAACAACAAATATTGTAGTTAATGTTAAAGAAATATATTTCTTGGGATTAATGAGGAGGAGGTGATGTTGATTAAGACTAAAGATACTGTGCACAAAGAAAAAATGTTAATCTTTAATTATTAATTTTTAGGGATGCTGAAAAGGATTGTCTCTCAAGTTTTCAGTGTCTGTAGATGTATTATCCTAACTATTCATACATCTTTTTTTGTTGTTTTTGTTCCTTCGTTTAGAACTTTTGGCTAAGGTGTTTTATTGCAGTCTAACTTTTAATCTATAGTACTTTGTAATTTTTCACTAAGTAATTTATTTCTTCATATGACTAGGGCCAGTTTTACACATTTAAATGCTCAGTTAAGCATTAAATAATAAATTCATATAAAATCTCACCTTGAAAGAGTCTGGAGGAATTATCTTACAAATACCATATTTTTCTGCTTCTGGTCTAATTTTCTCTATAAATTCCAAAGGGTCCTGAAACTCCTCTGCAGTAGGGTGATAAATTGGTGCTTCAACCATCTTGGGAGGATCACTTTCCATTGGGAAAGGTTCTTTTTTCCATGTCACTTTTTTTGTATCACTTTTTTGTTTTTTATTTGCCCCAACAAGTTTCAATTTTCTCTTAACTGGTGATGTTCCTAATGGTGTTCCAGGGCGACCAATTTTTGGGGATGATATGGTTTTTGTCTTTATAGAACTAGATGTTTGAGTTTGATTTGATATTGATTCTGTAGAAGTAATTAGTGACTCTGCTAGCTGAGTTACAGGTTCAGGAGAGGTTGTCTGAGTACCAACAGAAATTTCTTCACTTTTTTCAAGATTCTCACTCAAAGTAGCTAGAATGTCTTCCTCACAGGTGTTTGTAGAAGCATCTGCCACAGTTTTGGCAGGAGAAAAGTCCTGAATAAAATGATAAGGAACCTGAGTAAGAGTTTCACGAGTAGTAGTTAAAAGAATAGCACCAGCTGGGAAGGAATCATCAAAAACTCCTGAAAAATCACTGGTCATTAAACCTTGGATTTCATCAGAATTCCCAAAAATTAGATCATTTGGTATAGTGTGGGCCATTTCCCCTGTCACCTCAGCAATGGCATGATCACCTTCTGACATATTTTCACTTATGTATGAGGCAGCTGCTGCAGTATCATCAGTATTGTTATATGGTCCATTCCTTTGGGAAGCTACTAACTGTACATTTCGTGTGTTATTGGGTACTTCCATACAGTCACCTTTATTGGACCGATCAGATTCCTTTTTTATCTGCAACTGTTTCTCACACACCAAAGTTTGGCTTTTTCTTTCACTTTTTTTTATGCTGTTGTCTGTTTTTAAACTTGACTTGTATTTTTCTTTATCTTTTAATTTACGCTTCTTTAACTTTTTTGAGAGTTTATCTTTGGTTATTATTCCATATTTTTTGTGAGATTCACTGAAGTGCTTGCTTTCTTTCTTAGATTTTTTCAGTTTTTTTCTTTTTTCTTCTTTATTACCTGACTTTCCAAGCTTTTTCTCATGGTATTTGCCTTCACTTTTCTTAGGGTTTTTTTTAGAAACTTCAATTCTGTTGTCAGAGTTGTTCTCAAAAGGTTCATGCTTTTCACATGATTTTTTACTCTCTGGATCTCGACCAGAAACATGTTTTCCTTTCTTCTCACTCTTCTTTGAAGACTTACTAGAGATGGCATGCTTGGAAGACTTGTTTGATTCCTTCAATGGAACCAACTTTTTCTTTTTTTTAGGAGGTTCCATTTCCAATGATGTTACAACATCAGGTAATAATGAAGACTGAGATGCACTTTCAGTTTTTTTTTCTTTTCTTTTTATCTGTGATTTATTTTCTTCTAATAAATGTTCTTTTTCCAATGATACCGAAGACTGAGAACTAACTGTATCATTAAGGGTCTTTGTCTTATCTTTCTTTTTGAATGGTGGTTTGCTTTCTTCTAAAACATGAAGCTCCTTCTCTGATGATGCTTTTACCTCTTGTGTCACAGAAAGCAGACTATCTGAAGAATCTATCTGTGTTTTTGTTTTATCTTTTTTCTTACACTGTTGTTTTTCTTCTTCCAAAAACTTTGGTTCCTTTTTGAAAGGTGAAATGACCTCTATATTTTCTGAAGACTGACAACCAGTTGATTCAAGATGAATTTTTGCCTTCTCCTTTTTTTTTATCTGTGGTTTACATTCATCTGACAGATATGATTCTGAAAGACTGACTCCTTCAGACTTTTTATCTTCAGAAAGCCTTATTTCTGCTTTATCAGATTTCACTTTTGAATCCCTTTGTAAATTCTTTTGGTTCTTTGAAACTAATTTTAATGTTTCTTCTTTCATATTTTTGGGTTCTTGATTATTTTTTTCTTTTCTTTGTTCCTTAACTTCTTTATCTAACTTACCAATTTTAGCCACATTTTTTTCAATTTTTTTTGTATGAATGCTGGTATTTGATTCCATATGCTGCTCTTCTATTTCATTTTCATCTTTCTTGACTGTGTTCTCTTTAACTACTTCCTCCCTTTTCTTGACACCTTTTTTTTCCTTGGGCTTAGAGACTTCTGTTAGAAGTTTTATATCCTGAGAAGATGTGCTTATTGTCAGTGGAAGATTTTCAAAATACTCTGTTTCATTTTTTTGTGTAATTCTTTTTCCTTTTATGTTCTTTTGGGACTTCACAGAGGACACAGAGCTTCCCGAAATATTCCTCTGACGTAAAGATCTCCCACTGATGCCTGAAGAGTTTCTCGTTCGAGGCCTCTCTAAGGCTTCAATAAGTTCTGTAGGCTTTCCTGTACTTCTTGTTACTGGTCTGCTTAGTTTGTAAATTTGAGGAGCCTGCCTTCTTTGCTGAGGTCTTGCAACAGGCTTAGCAAATTTCTCTAGCTGTCTAACAGTTTTCCTGGTAATTATTTTGCTAGTTGCAGACCTCAAAACTTTGCTAGAAGATGCAATTATTTTTTTTGTGACTTCTCTACTTTGGTCACTTGTTTTCTGCTTTCTATTGGAAACACTTTTTAATGAAGTAGAGTTCTTTGCTCTTAGTCTGTCACGCCATTCTTGAAACTTTTTCGAACTTGCTGTAGATCTTAAAGTAGTTTTTGTCTGAAACTTGGCTTTGTTTTCCTCTATTTTGGATTTTGATTCTTTAGTAACTGGCTTTGGAGACACAAGAACAGATTCTGCTTCAAAATCACTTTCTGAATCAAAATCAACAATAGGAGGTACCAATTTTGCTTTACGAAGATGTGGTGTGATTCCCTGGGGTTCTGGATTAACAGGGGATAGAACTGGAGGAGGAGATTCTCCTCTAAGTCTGGCAGACCGAATTGGCTTTTGTTTGCCAGTTATTGATTTTAACCTTGTTTGCATACCCTGGCTAGTAAACCTTGAATTCCTTGAAGAAGAAGTATCAGATAATCTGGTACTCTTATGCCCGTTACCTCTACTTTTGTTTTTTTTATCTTCCTGAGAAATATCTTTGCCTGTATTTCTTCTTGTATCTTTTGATTTTGATGTTTGCTTTACTTTGGCAAGTCTCTGCTGTTTGTATTTTTCTCGGAGTTGGCCAACTGATGTTAACTTTGAAGAACTTTTTAATCTCCCTGAAGTAGTATTTGATGATGGCAAGCCTTCAAAGTTAAGTGTTGCTTGTTTGGTTCTGGTAGAGGAATCTCTGGCTAATAGTTTTCTTTTACGAGTTAGTGGTGTCTATAAAGACAAAGCACAATGCATTATAAAATTCTAAATACAAACATAATAATAATAATAAAAAAAATTGAATAATGTATTTGCAATTTCTGTTCATAAAAAATAATCTTTAATCATAAGTAAATTAGAAAAACACAGGATCCATTTATTAGAAAGCAGTGATCACTGTCAACTACAGGCAATTTAAAACCATAAACCATGTAAACTACTTCTTTGGAAGTACCAATTGTTATTTAAGCAATATATTAGACATCAACTGTTTACATTCTTGGGCAATATAAAAGCAGTGTCATCCATACTATAAAACAGATTAATTATATTCACTCTGAGTCTGAGAGAAAATTAAAATTAATTTTAGCAAGCATAAAAAGTTATTTGAAAGAAATAAAAGTATTTATAAAAAATATTTTCCCTTTAAATAGCTTTTTTAAGTTATCATTTTCCAAAACTGAAAATGTATTTTCAAACATACTTACTTCTGCTGACATTAATAGCTATTTCTCAAGCTCCATCTTTGCCATCTAACGTTGTGTTTGCTTGCTCCAGTCTTTATATACCCCACTCGACTGCCCTCGGCAATATCCAATTTGCAAAACTTTATGCCAGCCCTCACATGCCCTCTATGCAGGTAATGTATATAAGCACTATATGCATACAATAAAATCACTTTTTCAAGACTTACCTCCTTCCAGTCACTAACAATGGGTCTTAGTGGGAGAAAGGTAGGGAGTGTCAGTGGAGGTATGTTTGGAAACAAATTTTCAGTTCAGGAAAATGATAACTTCCAAAACATACATATCTCTGCTGACACTAAGAGCTAGAATCCCATACTGAGAAGGCAGAGGGACTGGTGAGGACAAAGATCATAAAGAAAGCATCTGCAGAGAACAAATATGTACCACGAGAAGTTGTATCAAAGTGGGAAACACTGCACTACATCCAGAACAGGTATGCTCTTCATCCCAAACTAAAGAAAATTGAAAAGGGTGGAATATAATACAAGTATGATGGTCCAGTGCCAACCAAACAGCCAAGGCTCCACAACTCGGGTTGGATTTAAGGGGTCATGGTACCCATATCCCACATTGGTGACCAGAGCAGTTGGACTGCAGATATATATATATATATATCTTTGTGATAGGATCCCTACCAGTAACCACAGAATGATGCATTTCGAATCACTGAATTTATGAAAGAGAGAAAGCAGTACCAAAGTGAACAATCCTTCTGATCAACCTGAAGAGTCCAAAAGGCAACATCCCAGGTCTGGATTGATGGGATCATATGCCATACTCCATCAAACTCCAGAGCTCATCCAGTCTGGATTTACAAACAGTTGTCTTTACTCCCCCACCAGATGGGCAAGGAGAATTCCGCTTACCCATGGAATTATGGAGAGGATGTGGAACACTGTCCCACCAAGGACCTAAAGATGGTACCGTGT